GGACGGAGTTTCGCCCTTGTTACCCAGGCTGGAGTGCAATGGCGCGATCTCGGCTCACTGCAGCCTCCGCCTCCTGGGTTCAGGCAATTCTCCTGCCTCAGCCTCCTGAGTAGCTAGGATTACAGGCATACGCTACCATGCCCAGCTAATTTTTTGTATTTTTAGTAGAGACGGGGTTTCACCGTGTTGACCAGGATGGTCTCAATCTCTGGACCTCGTGATCCACCCGCCTCGGCCTCCCAAAGTGCTGGGATTACAGGCTTGAGCCACCGCGCCCGGCCTCTTTGATTTTTTTAGAGACTGAGTCTCACTCTGTCACCCAAGCTGGAGTGCAGTGGTGTGATTTCAGCTTACTGCAACCTCCACCTCCTGGGTTCAAGTGATTCTCCTGCCTCAGCCTCCTGAGTAGCTGGGACTACAGGCATGCACCACCATGCCTGGCTAATTTTTGTATTTTCAGTAGAGACAGGGTTTCTGCCATGTTGGCCAGGCTGGTCTCAAACTCCTGACCTCAGGTGATCCACTCATCTCAGCCTCCCAAAGTGCTGAGATTACAGGTGTGAGCCACCTCGCCTGGCCATAATATTTTTAACCGCAGTCTCTCATATTGCTTAAAAGTGCTGGAAGAGAAAAATGGTCAGAAGCACTGCCCCAAGGTGACAACATAAATACTTCTTTAACTAGACAAAATTATTTTCAAGGTAGCTTTCAAATAGCTTTAACTAAACTCTCCAGCAAATTCTCCATGTATTGAAGCCACTAGGAGGACATTTCACACTCACTGTCATACTCACTTTCTTCAGCAGCAGTATAGATTGTGCCTGGAAGTTTTGGGTGTGGGTGGGTGGTCTTTGCAGCAATAACAATATTTGCTCCATCCTTTGCTGCTTTCAACGCAATAGCTTTGCCAATGCCACGGCTTGCACCCGTGATAAAAACTGTACATCCTGCTAGCCTCCTAAAACAGAACAAATATCACCTTATTAGAATGCCCAATTACTTACTGACAGGCATCAGAAGCTCATGCATATTTTCATATTATGTTTCCTCCTCTGTGAAATTTTCTCTAAACCCTCCCCATGCCTATCAAATGGCAGATAACTCCACTGCACTCCCATGGCACAATGACATAAATTATTTATGACAACTGCAGTTGGCCAGTCTTGCTGTGATTTGGCAAACAAAATCTGTTCAAATGCAAAGTAGGTCTTAAAGAGAAGTGAAGAATTATAAAACAAATTACATAAACATGCATTTTTCCCCCACAGAAAAAGTGTTAATAAAGCTTTTTTTTGAGTGTTGGGATTATGAATAAATTTTATCATATTATTTATATTCTTTAATATTTTTCGATTTTTTTTACAATGACTAAATACCACTTTGAAGAAATTATCTAAAAACAAACAGTTGTTCAATGAATGCTCATAAAAGCCAGGGTGGAAACAACCCAAATGTCCATCAGCTGATGAACGGATAAGCAGAATGTGGTGTAGCCATGCATAATGAAATAATGTTTAGCAATAAAGTATTGTTATGAGCTACAACATGGATGAACCAAAATCATTCTGCTAAGTGGAAGAAGCCAGTCATGAAGGACCACATATTATATCATGCCATTTATATGAAATGTCCAGAATAGATAAACCTATAGAGACACAAAGATCAGAGGTTACCTAAAGCTGGGAGTGGGAGGGATTGGGGGCTCACAATGGAGGGTTGAAGCGTTTCTTTCTGGGATGATGAAAAGTCTTTTAAATTGTCTGTGGTGATGGTTGCACAGCTCTGTGAATATACTAAAAGCCAATGAACTGCATATTTTAAATGGGTGAACAGTATGGTACATGAATCGTATCTCAAAAGAGCTGTTAAATAAACCAAGAAGAATCGCAAATTGTTGAAGTTTGATCTGAAATATTCTGATTCAAATGTGCTGACGGTTCCCTGAGCCCTTTTCATTATTTGTGTGCTTTGTTTTTTTTTTATTTTTGTTTTTTTAAATGGAGATGGGGTATCACCATCTTACCAAGGCTGGTCTGAAACTTCTGTATTTTATTTTATTTTATTTTTGAGACAGGGTCTCACTCTGTCACCCAGGCTAGAATGCAGTGGCATGATCATGGCTCACTGCATCCTTGAACTCCTGAGCTTAAGTGATCTTCCCATCTCAGCCTCAGAAGTAGCTGGGACTACAGGCACACACCACCATACCCAGCTATTTTTTTTAATTGTTTGTAGAGGTAGGGCTTGGTATGTTACCCAGGCAAGTCTCAAACTCCTGGCCTTACGTGATCCTCCCACCTCAGTCTCCCATCATTTCATTAAGTTCACTTAAACTTTCTGCTTACTCAGTTGCTAAGTGAGAAGGAAACACCTAAAATAATTTCCTAGTAAACTCATAAAAAAGAATAAAATAGAAAAGTAGATAAGGTAACACCAAGGGAAAGCACTTTCTTGTTTACTTTCTAAGGGTGAATTTAAAAGTCTGCTTAAGGAAAACAATGGAGAGTGATGAGCAAAAGTGACAATGACAAAGGAAAAGGTATGACCTGAGATTGGTAATATATTAGCAGGTCTGCTAATAAAAGAACATAAAGGTCTTGCATGACTGAGAGGATTACACTCCAGAAGTAAGAGGTCAGAGGTAAAAATGGGAATCGGCTTTAAAACGAGGAGTAACTAGTTTGGTGAGGAGGAAGAGTGATCATGCCACTGCACTCCAGCCTGGAGACAAAGCAAGACTCCGTCTCAAAAAATAAAAAATAAAAAAAATAAAAAACTTAGCCATGCATGGTGGCACACATCTGTAATCCCAGCTACTTGGGAGGCTGAGGCAGGAGAATCACTTGAACCCAGGAAGCGGAGGTTGCAGTGAGATGAGATCACACCACTGCACTAAAGTCTGGGCA